CCCCCTCCCCTTCGTCACATAAAACTAACTGCGCATGCGTAATGGGACGGTTTCTCCGCGGTGGGTCACGCGCTACTTGCGTCACGCTCGGAACTGTTTTGACTGTCTCGTGATGTAAAGTGCTTTCTCTCGTGGGGAAAAAATAACATTTTTATTTGGTAGAATAATGATCTTACGTTTGATTTAATTTTTTTTTCTTCTATCTTTTACATGTATTATTATGAGTATTCATTTATTTTATTTTCTTGTTGTTTATCATACTGTATACGTGAATATACGGTTAAATGATCGAAGCGGAGCATGAACAGCAGTAGAATGAAAGAAATGTACCAGGAAACCGCATACAGCGATGAGGTCGGACGTGGAAAAAGAAGACTAGGAAACCACGAGACTTAGCCTGCAGAGAACAGGTATCTTCCTCCCTGGTGATCGCAGTGACCTGGTCCACCCACTGACTTACTAACTTCACTGGCGTCTCCCTCTCCCCCCCCCTCTCTCTCTCTACATCCCTCTCCTTCTCTCTCTCTCTCTATCTATCTATTTATCTATCTATCTATTTCTATCTCTCCCTCCCTCCCTACCCCCCCCTCTCTCTCTCTACATCCCTCTCCTTCTCTCTTTATCTATCTATCTATTTATCTATCTATCTATTTCTATCTCTCCCTCCCTCCCTACCCCCCCCCCTCTCTCTCTCTCTCTCTCTCTCTCTCTCTCTCTCTCTCTCTCTCTCTCTCTCTCTCTCTCTCTCTCTCTCTCTCTCTCTCTCTCTACATCCCTCTCCTTCTCTCTCTCTCTCTCTCTCTCTCTCTCTCTCTCTCTCTCTCTCTCTCTCTCTCTCTCTCTCTCTCTCTCTCTCTCTCACTATCTATCTCTCCCCCCCCTCTCTCTCTCTCTCTCTCTCTCTCTCTCTCTCTCTCTCTCTCTCTCTCTCTCTCTCTCTCTCTCTCTCTCTCTCTCTCTCTCTCTCTCACTATCTATCTCTCCCCCCCCCCCTCTCTCTCTCTCTCTCTCTCTCTCTCTCTCTCTCTCTCTCTCTCTCTCTCTCTCTCTCTCTCTCTACATCCCTCTCCTCTCTCTCTCTCTCTCTCTCTCTCTCTCTCTCTCTCTCTCTCTCTCTCTCTCTCTCTCTCTCTCTCTCTCACTATCTATCTCCCCCCCCCCCTCTCTCTCTCTCTCTCTCTCTCTCTCTCTCTCTCTCTCCTTCTCTCCTTCCCTCCTTCCCTCCTTCCCTCCTTCCCCCCTCCCTCCATCCCTCCCTTCCTCCCTCCTTCCCTCCCTCCCTCCTTTCCTCCCTCCCTCTCTCCCTCCCTCCCTCCCTCCCTCCTTCCTTCCTTCCCTCCCTCCCTCCCTCTCTCCCTCCCTCCCTACCCCTATCTTTCTCGTATTCTCATTCAAGTATGTATACATTTACGCATTTTATAGTGTTACTGTCCTTACCACTGCCTCGACTTGAGGCTCGGCGCTCGTAAATCAGATAGTGTGCTAACAAGGTAACCTTGTCAAATTCATCTCCATAATTTGAGAGGGGCTCGGTGAGGCCTTACCTTGTGTGCATCCATTCCTGCCAAAGTCTCTCCTCTGTTCCCCATTCTATCGGAAGTTAAGACAGTAATACGGCCTTGTGCTTATAGATCCCAAATCTCCGTATTTATGTAAAGATGAATGTAATTATGGTCAAGGTTTACCGATGGAGACAGTAATTAAGAAATGATCAGCTGTGTGGTTATATGTATCGGCGCGTTTGCAGTACTTCCGTGTAATAGGAGTTTGAGGAAATAGTGAGAGATGTGTTTAGTCTGTTATATTAATTTTAGATGAAACGGCAAGATCGCAGAAGTTAAGAAATAATATGAAAACACTTTTGGAGTCGTTTCAAAACTTGGAAACGATGCATTTTTCTCATGTTTTTTAGTCGATGCGCACAGATAGGAAAATTATAATAACTGTTGTGAAAATGATACACTTGCGTCAGTATGAGATTCCATTCCACCGTTGACACCCTATATCGAGGCACGCCCGTTCTCCCCCGCCCACGAACCTAGCCCCGCCAATCGTCTTCATAACCGCGCGTGAAGTAAATGGATACGGTGTAAGCATCCATGCCTTCCGGTACCTCCAGCTCGTTTTTTTTTCTCTCTCAGGTTGCTCTTGATAACACGGATCATATCTTACTTTAGACGGGATACGGTTACGAATTCTAATCCCATTAAGAATTTCAGTCCCATTCTTGCGTTTATGTCTACTTCTGCCGCTACTGTAACTAGCTCCACACCACGGTCTTCCAGTCCCTTCTTTACCTCGGCCTTCATTCCACCTGACCCTGTGCCCTTGAGCCCTGATCACGGGTACGCCCCTCATGCCTGTCTCCCCGCTGGGCAGCCCACGCTATCCGTCAGTACCTTGAGCGAGCAAGACTATATGGTCGATGAACTAACAAGGCCGACCGTGCCCATTAGTGGCGTCGTGGGCAGTGTCAAGGTACTCCCAGCAGATGTTTTTGTTGGCCGTGTAGTCAGCCAGGCTCTTCGTCCGTCCTCTGACTTCCGGGTTGTTAATAGGCTACGGCATAACGCGTTACTATTACCATTCCGAAGTGTGGTGAGCTGGATGCGACGAGGTCATCGCTCCGACTTAACAACAACACGACGACGTCCAGTTTTACAGAGGTCTCCTCCCACCGCCTCCTCCCGCAACCAACATCCTTCTTCTGTACTAGCAATTATGTCTATCCCCCTCAATACCCACCTGCGCCCACCCCAAGCCCACCCAAACTCACCGCAAGCATCACGTGCGCGGCTGCATTTCTCAACAGCGAAGTGCTTGGGGCAGAGAGAGAGGGTGGATGCAGCCAGGCCGGATATCCACGCTGCTTGAACACCGCGTATTAGGTCCGGCGAGGGCGCACGCACCAGCTGGAAACACCTCACTTTTTCATGTTGCGAAATTGTGTCAAGTCGTGTGACACCTTCGCCCAACGCTTCGTCACCCCCTCGCCACCCATGCGTTCATCCCTCACGCCCTTTTCCCCACCCTTCCTTTCTCTTCCTCTCTCCTCTCCCCTCGCTTCTCTCCCTCCTCCCTTTCCTTCCTTTCTGCCGTTCCCATCTTCCCCTCCGTTCCTTACCACCTCCTCCTCCATCTCTTCTTCCCATCTGTCTCTTCCTTCCCTCCTCTTCTCCTCTCTCTCCTTTCTTTCCTTACCTCCTCCTTCTCCTTTCATCCCTTCTCTTCCTTTCTTTGCCCTTCTCCATCTCTTCCCATCCGGTCTTTCCTTGTATTTCTCACCTTTCTCTCTTTTATCTCTCTACTTTTTACCCATCCCTTCAACTCCTCTCCCCCCCTCCTCCTCCTTCTTCTTCTTCTTCTTCTCCTTCTTCTCCTCCTCCTCCTCCTCCTCCTCCTCCTCCTCCCCCCCCTTTTCCTCCTCCTCCTCCCCCTTTTCCTCCTCCTCCTCCTCCTTCCCCCCATCCGCCTCTCGCTCCCCGCCCCCCGCCCACCCACGAAGTTTCTCAAGGTATTTCGTGATCGGAAGGGAAGCACAGACAAATAACCACGCTCTTCGGATGCTGACAAAACTCTCCTCCGGCCGTTGTTGGGCGTCTTCCTGGTTGCGGCGGCGTGGAAGAGAGTGCGAAAAGGTTTTGAAGATTAGTTCATTGGTTACTTCGTTTGGTTGCAATGGCATTATGGTGGCATTCTGTTGTGGCGAAGTGGTAGAGTCATGGACAAGTCAGGCGTATAATAATGTAGAACAGTAGCATTTTTCACATGGAAAGTAGGTGACTATAACATTACTGCAATCCATGATGTAGGAAATATGAAACAAATAGCATATATAAATTCCGAAATGCAATGTAAACGAATATACAAAGCAGATAGAGCATACAGCAATCACCGTGCAACGTCTATACGCAACCAGTAATTCTCACAGAACAAATAACACGCCACAACTTTACCATGCAACAAATAACACTCAAAATCCGTAGCTCATAACAAAATCAGTCAACACGAATACCGACTAACATACTTAACCCCGAACCGTGACATGTAGCGTGTGGAATCCGGCAGCGTCGTCGAGTGTCCGAAAGTAACCGAATCCCGGTATCGAGCGGTTCGGACTCTTCACGGTTCGTGGCGGGCAAGGGAAGTGGCGGCGGCGGCGACGAAGGGGGGGGGGGCAACGGCAGCTTCCGGCGGGGGATCTCGCTGGATTTTTTGTTGGTTGGGATGATTTTCATTTCTTTTTTGGGAGGGATTTCGGTTTATCTCTCTCTCTCTCTCTCTCTCTCTTCCTCTTCTTTTCGTTCTCCTTTTCCTACTCCGTCTCCCTTTCAAATTCCCTTTACCTCCCTCCCTCCCTCCTCCTCCTTCCCTCCCTCCCCACTTCGACTCTCCTCCATTTCCCTTTCTCTCCCTCTTCTTCTCTTAACCCCACTCACCCTCTCCCTCTTCTTCCTCTCCTTCACCTTCTCCCTCTCATTCTTCCTCTCCCTCTCCCTCTCCCTTTTCTCTTCCCTCTCCCTCCCCCTCTTCTTCTCGCTCTCCTCTCCCACTCCCACTCCTTCTCTCTCTCTCTCTCCCTCTCTCTCCCTCCCTCCCTCCCTCCCTCCCCACTTCAACTATCTGTGTCCTCCTTAACTATCACTTTCTCGCCTTTCCTTGGCCAGATGGCACTGTCTCTTCATCCCTTATAATGAAGAGTGAAACTGACATGTTTTTGTCCACGACATTTGTTCCATCTTCTTTTTATTTATGGTGGAAGGATACAAGTGTGCTTTTGTTGTTTGTTTATTTAGTGTCTGATGCTCTTGCTTCATTTGTAAAACGGTTTAGTTTAAAGATACATTTGTTTGAGTTCTTTGTTTCCAGTTTATCTCGTCATTTCGAGAGAGATATTCGTTTGCCCGTTTGGCTCTATTTGTGCACTTAGATTTATATATTTCATCTTAAAAGAATTTGTTTGGAATTGACTTCATGTGCGTTCTTCTTCTTTCAGGTAAATATGCGTGTCTTCTTCAAACGAGTCGAAATGCGCAACTACAGTAAGTATAGAATATGTTACACTATTTGTTATATGTTTAATCAATATATAAATGTGGAAAAAAGTGTGTGTGTGTGTGTGTGTGTGTGTGTGTATGTGTGTGTGTATGCGTGTGCGTGCGTGCATGCGTGCGTGTGTACGTGCGTGCGTGAGTACGAGTGCGTGTGTGTATGAAATAACGTGAAAAGAAAGAACAAAAGAAAGACAGGAGGGAGGGGAGAGGGAGAAAAAAGTGAGAAAGCAAATGTTAGAAAATAGAAGAGCCAGAAAAATGCCACGTCAGAAAAAGAGTCAAAATTTCGGCTTATTCCCCCCTGTCTTGATGTGCTATATAATTCACGTTCTGTTAAAAGGTCAAGGCTTGCAAAGTTGGCAGTGTTTCTACTCGCAGAAGAGGGAGAGGGAGAGGAAGGGAGAGAGGGGGGGAGGGAGGGGAGAGGGAGGGAGGGGGAGAGAGAGGAGAGAGGAGAGAGGAGAGAAAGAAGGAGAGGAATGAAGAAAGAGAGAGAGAATGCTCGATAGAGAGAGGGGATGAAGAGAGAGAGAGAGAGGATGCTCGAGAGAGAGAGAGAGAGAGAGAGAGAGAGAGAGAGAGAGAGAGAGAGAGAGAGAGAGAGAGAGAGAGAGAGAGAGAGAGAGAGAGAGAATGCTCGAGAGAGAGAGGGGAGAGGGAGAGAGAGGGGGGGGAGGAGAGAGAAAGAGAGGGAGGGAGGAAGATAGAGAAAGAAGGGGGGGAGAGAGAGAAAGAGGGGGGAGGAGAGTGAGAGAGGGGGAGGAGGGAGACAGAGAGAGAGAGAGAGAGAGAGAGAGAGAGAGAGAGAGAGAGAGAGAGAGAGAGAGAGAGAAAGGAGGAATCGGTTTGAAATCAGAACAAAAGGGAGAAAGCGAGAGAACGTAACAGACCGTAAGGAGAACCCAAAATGATCCCTTTTGCCGAGAAACAAAAGAATTAAAAACACCGATAAAAAGGAGTCAGTGGAGGAGGAGACAAAGACACAGCTCAGACGAGGAAACGAGAGAGACGCAGACTTTTCAAAGTGCCGATTTTTCGTCCAGATTTTCCTCTCTTCTTCCTCTTGTTAATTAAGCGCATCTCCTCTTCCCTCCTCTCCCTCTTTGCAGGCCAGTAACTCGCAATTATTTTTGCATTTAGCTGTCAAGTTGACCGGGTGTATGTGCCACACCAGGGGTTCGGCTGTCATCTGTGATTCGTTATTAAATTCATATCCTCTCCCCTTCTCTCTGCTTTACTCCCCTCCTCTTCACGTATCTTTATCCTTCCCCCGTTTCCTACCCTTTTCTCATCTTTCCTCTCCTCCCCGTCTCCTAACCTCCTTATTTCCTATCTTATTCTTCTCCCTATGTCTCAACCTTATATCTTTCCCTGTCTCTCATCTTTGCTTTTATCTGTTTTTCTCCGATTTACTCCCTTCTCCTTCCCCCCTCCTTTATCACTTTTTCCCTTTATCTTCCTTTCACTACTCCTGCACCTCTTTTACTCCTCATTTCCTCCCTCCTTTTACTCCTTTTCCCTTCTCTGTCCTTTAATCCTTTCCACGTCATTTCTCCTTCTCCCTCCCCCTCCCACCTCCCTCTCCACTAACTTGGTGCCATATCTTATTCCTTGTCATTTTCTTTTCAGTTCACTTCCCTTCTCCTTCCATCTTTGTCCATCAGTTATCGCCTGTTCCTTCTGCTCTCTTCATTTTCTGCTTCCCTTATTTCTTATCGCCCCCCTATCTCTCGTTCATTATTCCACCATAACCATAAGCCTTTGCCCTTGACCTAGAAATCGTTTCTTAGTGACCAGGAAGAGGAATGTAACGGGACTTTTGTAGGAACATAATGTATACTTATAAGATATATAAGTATACCATATCTATAATATCTTTGATTCGAGTGAGTGTGAATAGAAAAGAAAACTTTTAAGTTTATTACGAAGAGCAGCACTGAAGATAACCCTTCCTACTTACTCGAGCACATTAAGAAAGCGCTTTTCACGAACAGGAACACTTTAGATAGTCCTTTCTGCGAACAAAAACACTTACGATAGACTTACGATAGCAATTCCTACAACAGAAACGCTTACGATAGCCTATGTTCGCATTAAGATAACTCTGAATACGAACAGAATCGCAACCCATGTTCCCGTTAACCCATATCCTCTTTCACCTTCTAAAGCTTTCTCACCCTTCCACCACCGCCACCCGTCATCCTTCTCTCACCCATCCAGATCTTGGACCCTTCACCCCCCCCCCCACCCCGACTTTTCCCCTCTTGTGTGTGTTGGAAATCTCACGGGGTTTCCCCCTCACGTCCAGGCTGTGGATCCCGCCGCCCGCACGTGTGGATTCTTAATGGGTCGACAGCCCTTGGTAATTACCTCCTCTGGACTCATCAAGGGGAAGGGAAGGGTCATTTTTAATCATGACGTTTTATTGATTAATCATGGATTGATTTATTATTTCTGCGGTTGATCTTGTGCTAGTTTGTTTGTTTTGTGCGATACCTATTTTGGATTGGGTTAGCAGTATGTAAAAAAGTAGGATATATTTAGATAAGAGGTAAGTCTGCATTCTGATTCCTGTTATTATAGGTCACCATTTATTTACTTACCTCTTGATGTGTTATTTGTTTTAGGCTTAGGCTTTAGGTTTGTTTTATTTGTAAATAACAATCCAGCCTGACACTGATATTGTGTTTGGACAAGATAGTTCCATATTACGAGGACTCTGATTCTGTTGCTATAACCCTTCAACTTTTTGCCAGTTTCCCTTGCGCTGGTTCCCTCCTTCGTCAATGCCTCGGTCCTCCTCCTCGTTCCTCGCATCCGTTACCGATCTCCTTTGTCCCCGGACGCTTGACCAGCCGACCGCCGTTCCTTTCAGCGGCGTCCTCACTTCCTTCAAGGGCGTCCTGTACCTCATCCTGGCCGTTATCTTCCTGTTGATGTTGCATTCTGTACATCCGCGTGCCGTGACCCCTTCATGCAACGAACTCTCTTCTCAGGCCTTCTTTAGCCTTCTCGACACGCCCTCTTGAACGTAACATTCCTGCCGGAGCATAAGCCACAACGAACCTCTCCTTATAGGATTTAAAAAGAGGAACACAATCCCACAGACGATAGCAGGATGAGTCATATCGTTGTTAGATATGATCTGTCTGTAGTTGCGACCTTTCATTTTATTTTATTTTATCTTATATTTTCGTCATTTTCTGCGTGAAAGTGATTTACTGTGTCACTTGATTTTAGACTCACCCCTCGTACCTGGTTACCCGTGCGACATTGTGCGGTGAATTTTTATGTATTCGCCGCGTGTCCTGGTTAGCGCACAACTTTGAAAGTACGAGTCTTGCGAAATTTACATATATACAAAAAAATCCAGTACATACAATTTACATGTTATGTATTTATATAAAGTAAACAAAGGGAACTATCTAATCACACCATTCTTTATAATAAGAAAGCCAGAAGGTCGTACATCAAGGACCTCGGGACTGAGACAACCCAACTCGTTTCTCGCAATGTAATTCACGTGCTGACCTTTTATCCGAGTGTGGGATTCGGGTGGACTTGTTTGCTGGAGGGAGAAGGGAGGGCAAGGGGGTGGGAAGGGAGAGGGGGGGAAGGGAAAGGGAGAGGGCGAGAAGGAAGAAGGGGAATGGAGAAGGAGGGGGTGAGAAGAAAAAGTGGGAAGGGAGAGCGAGATGGTGAGAAGAGAGAGAGGGACGGGAAAAGGAGAGGGTGAGAGTGGATAAGGGGAGGAGAGAACGAGAAGTTAAGAAAGGAGAGAGAGAGGGAGAGAGAGAGAGAGAGAGAGAGAGAGAGAGAGAGAGAGAGAGAGAGAGAGAGAGAGAGAGAGAGAGAGAGAGAGAGGGGAGAAAGACGGAGCGTAAGAACCCCCACCCCTACACCGTCTCCTTGACACTGCTCGAGAGATCGCGCGAATGCGTGTGTTCTCTCGCGGCGAAGGAGTAGTCGCTAACCCTGTAATTAGCTAACTTTTTTACTTCCACATTACCGTCTGTAGGGTGAAGCACGCACGCACTCACAAGGGGATTCGCCATTACCTTTGTCTGTAGCGAAGGTAATGGTAGTCTTCCACAACGCCGTTTAAACGTGTGTGATTGATAAGGTCTCTCGCTTTCTCGAACGTAAACGGGACTGCTTCGGGGCGATGGGGAGGAGGTGGAGGGGGGGGGGCGATATGGTGACCTTCATCGGACGGGGAATTCAGTCTGAGAAATTTCCTTGTGTGAGACACGTTCTCGCGGTGTCATTATTCTGTGACGGTAGTTGTTGTTATTTAATCTAATTGTTGGGTTCGGAACTGCTATTATTCAAGATTACCTTCTTTAATAATAGTTCCAGCAGTGAGTAATGTTATTCTCATTTTAAAATTTATGCTGTCATCATTACCGTCTGTTTATAGAATGTCACCGTCTTCATTGTCTGTATTTTGCATCATCGCCGCTGTTACATTTACACGAGGGAAGGGAAAAAAAGCATTGTCTCTTCCCGGATACAGTAGTGACGCCACAAGGTAGTTCGGAAAAGTTAGAAATGTTCTTTAACAAATAAGATATGCGGATGCGACACTGGATCGCGGTCGACATTATTTTAATTTTTTTATTGGAAACCAGTTTTTGTAACCTTTGACCAGTGGTGTCTTGTAAAGTTAATGGATTTAGCTGTTTCCCAAAACAGAAGAAAACGGGTCTAATGAGTAACAATTGTATAATGCAGGTGTCAGTATAAGATTAGTACGTCCTGCTTGTAATCTCAATGAGAAAACGTCGTGTGAATGTAGGTCTAGATATAAAAGCAGTGACACGTGTAAAATGTAATCTGCGTTTATAGAAATATTTATTAGTTATTTACGAACTCTTAAAGCAATGAGTAAACAGCAATGTTTTCTTGACCTGCTTACCAGCTACTGTACGTCACTGGCATCACCTGGCTAACGCAAATACAAAATAATCCTCATATTACTCGTAACA